ATACCCTTCCGATTATCATGCTATGTTGGTCTTTGTGGTAGTTGATAGGCACCATATTTGTAGATCATAGAACTATTGGTGGGTTTCCTCTATTGGTCACTGGCATGGCACCTTCTGGTACCGTGAAAACTAGTCCTTGAGGGTGAGGCTTTCAGATCAGAACCAGCTCATGTCCTCTGAGTCTTGTGTCCTATGTGTATGGCATCCTCAGCAACGGATTTTCCAATTTGATGGAGAACAGGTTTTTAAAGTATGTCCTTATGATTCTCTGGTTTTCTTAGGTGCCTGTTGATGTTTTCCTGTGGCAGTTTGAATGTAATTGGCCCCCATAATCTCATAGGGAGTGGCACTATTAGGAGGTGTGGCTTTGTTGAAGTGGACGTGGCCTTATTGGAGGAAGTGTGTCACTGTGGGGGTGGGCTTTGAGGTGTCCAGTGCTCAGGATACCGCCCAGGGTCTCATTTGACTTCCTGTTGCTTGCAAGATGTAATACACTATTTCTCCGGCACCATGCTTGCCTGCATGCTGCCATGCTCCCCACCATGATGACAATGGACTGAACCTCTGAAACTGTAAGTGAGCCACCTCAATTAAATCTTATCCGAGTTGCCATGGTCATGGTGTCTCTTCACAGCAATAGAAACCCTAACTAAGACAGTTCCACTTTTTGTTTCTAATTTTACTAATTTAGACCCTTCATCTCCATTCTTTTAGTTTCATTTGTCTAGGAGTTCATCAATCTGACTGGTGTTTCTCAAAGAACCAACTCTTTATTTTAGTAATTTTTTTTGTATGTTTCTTTTTGTTTCTGTTTTATTGGTTTCTGTCTGGAGTTTGATTATTTCTTGCTGTCTATTCCTTTTGATGTTCTTTTTTTCTTTTTTTGTTCTAGAGCTTTCAGGTGTGCTATTAAGTTGTTGATATGGGATCTCTCTGATTTTTTATGTAGGTACTTTGTGCTCTGAATTTGCTTCTTTGAATCACCTCCATTGTGTCTAATAGGTTTAGGTGTGTTGTGTTTTCATTTTCTTTCAATTAAAAAGTCTTAATTTCAGTTGACCCATTTTTTTTCATTCAGTAGTATATTCTTCAGTTTCCATGCGTTTTAAACTTGCTGCTGTTTCTGTGGTTGTTGACACACAGCTTTTTTGTTTGTTTGTTTGTTTGTTTGTTTGAGACAGAGTTTCTCTGTGTAGTTTTTGGTGCCTGTCCTGGATCTCGCTCTGTAGACCAGGCTGGCCTTGAACTCACAGAGATCTGCCTGGCTCTGCCTCCCAAGTGCTGGGATTAAAGGCGTGCACCACTGCCTGGCAATACACAGCTTTAATGTATCACATTCAGAGAGGATGCAGGGTGTTATTTTGTTGTGTCTGTGAAGACTTGCTTTGTGTTCAAGTATGTGGTCAGTTTTGTAGAAAGTTCCTTGAACTGCTGAAAAGAAGTTTTATTCTTTCTTTCTTGGGTGAAATGTTCTGTAAACATATGCTAGGTCCTTTTGATTTATAACATCATTTAGCTCCAGCATTTCTCTGTTAAATTTTTTGCCTGAGCGACTTTTCTATTGTTGAAAGTGAGGTATTGAAGTAGCCCACTATTACTGTGTGTGGGTGAGTATGTGATTTTAGCTGTAGTACTGTTTGTTTCATGAACTCGGGTGCCCTCGTGTTTGGTGAATAGATATTTAAAATTGTAATATCCTCTTGGTCGATTTTCCCTTTGATTAGTATGGAGTATCTTTCCCCATATCTTCTGATTGGTTTTGGTTTGAAAACTATTTTGTCAGATATTAAAATGGCTACATCAGCTTGCTTTTTGGGTCTGTTTTGGAATATCTTTTTCTATTATTTTATTGTGAGGGGACATCTATCCTTGAGGTTAAGGAGTCGCTTTTTCTTTGTTTTTGGATGCAGCAGTAAGATGGATCATGTTTTCAAATCTAATCTGTTAGCCTGTGTCTTTTTTATTGGTATATTGAGACCACTGATGTTGTGAGATATCAATGAGCATTGTATATTGATTCCTGTCCTTTTGTCCTTATGGTGTGGGTTTAGTAGTCTGGCTGGCACCTATGGTCTCTTCTGGTCAGAGTCTCCATCGAGAAGTCAGATGTTATTCTCCTGGGTCTGCCTTTATATGTTACTCGCTTTTCTCCCTTGCAGCTTTCTAACAGCCTTTTGTGGTGGTGTTCTGTGAGTTTAGTGTCTGACTATTGTGTGTAGTAGGGAATTTCTTTTCTGCTCTAGTCTGTGTGGTGTTTTGTGTGCGTTCTTACACCTTGACAGGCACCTCCTCCTTTAGGCTAGGGAAAATTTCTTCTATGATTTACTTGAAAATATTTTCTGTGCCTTTGACCTGGGTTTCTTCTTCTTCCTCTATTCCTGTTATTTGTAGATTTGGTCTTTTCTTAGTTTCTCGGATTTATTGGGTGTTTGTTGCCTGGAGTTTTAAAAATTTAACATTTCCTTTGACTGAGGTATCCATTTCTTCTACTTTGCCTTTGATGACAGAGAGTCTGTCGTCCATGTTTGTACTCTGCTGGTGAGGCTTACCTCTGAGGTTTTTGTTTGACTTTCTAAAGTTTTCTTTACAGTTTTATCTCAGCTTGGGTTTTCTTTAGTGATTATATTTCTACTTTCATGTCTTGAGCATTTTTCATCATTTCATTCCACTGTTTGCATTTTCATAGACTTCATTAAGGGATTTATTCATATCCTCTTTAAGGTCCTTTAACAAATTCATAACAGCTATTTTGAAGTCATTGTTTTGTGGTTCAGCTATATCGTATTTCTCAGGACCCTGTAGTTGGCTTGCTGGGCTCTGTGGAGACACGATATCTTGTGTGTTAATGATGATGTCCTTGAACTGGGTGCTTTGGCGTCTGGGTTTGGGAGGACTGTGGTGCTAGGTGTTGACCTAGGTTCTGGGTGTGGTTCTTTGTTCTGGTCCTGTCCTTGTTGAGTGGCTGTTCTGTCCCTTGGTTTCTGTTGCCCACTCTGGATATTAGGAGAGTGTGGTGGCTGTGGGTTACCTATAGGAAACGCTTCTGAGTCCTTTGCCAGGTATGTTCACTGGGGGTCCCAGGTAGAATGTGTTTCTAGGTATTGGGAGCTGACAGGAAGGAATAGGGATGGGCTCGAGAGGTGAACTGAGATGGTCCTCAGGAAGCAGGAAAGCTGGGTCCTCCACATGGTTTGATAGAGTCCTGAGGGAATGGAGGCAGAGAGAGAAGATAGGCCCCTGTGGGTGCCACTGACTGGGTGCTAAGAACTGAACTCTGTCCAACCATGTCAGAGCTGGCAATGGCATTCTGGCAAACAGAGCATGAGCACTAATCTTATAAATCATGCCATGCTGGCTACAACGCTATGGAGAGCCACAAAGCACACATTTTATGTGCAACTAACCTCCTGTAGGAAGATCTTCTGGTATTTCTCTTTACAATTTTTGTTACATGGTATGTACTTATTTTTCATGTGTGTCTGTGTGTGCACATGTGCATGCCTGGGCATGTGTGTGCCCCAATGTCTGTTTGGCAGTCAGAGGACAACCGCAGGAGTTAGTTTTCCCATGCCACCTTGTGATTCCTGGGGATCGAACTCAGATCTTCATGTTTGGTGGCACTCACCATTATCTGCTGAGCCATCTCACCACCTCTTCATGCATTCTCTTCTGTTCTGGAATCAACCTGCCTCTTCTTTGCCTCCATGGAACAATGAAGCATTGATCGTTACACCCACAGCTAAGATATTAGAAGTTTCTACCTCTGTGACATGAAGGTTCTGTGTTGATAAACACATGTGTAAAATTAATATATTGCAAACCATATTGAGTAATCTCTCAAGGGTGGAGACAAATCTCATAAAGAAGCAGATGTTAAAAAGAAGGCTTGGGTGTAGATATTTAAGTCAGCCTCTGTTCCAACTCTGCATAGGTATAACAGTAGAAATGACCCACTGTCTATTCACAATGCCCTCTGTCACGTTCTGAGAAAACCAGTGAGACACTCTTTAGAAGGCACTAACACCACATCCAGCTTTCCCACCAGACAGATCCTGCACAGTGAGTCTGTGTGGTCCTCTCCTCCTTGCATCCTACCCAAACCCCTGCATCTAGCCCAGGTTCTATACCCAGTGCCTTCACCAAATCTGGCCACTAACCTCCAGGTTCCAACCAGGACCCACACAGCCTACCCACCACCTACAGCCTGCTCCCCATGTCACATCCTACCTCCCAGACAGCCATATCCCACAAAGCCATCACCAGGGTCTAGTCAGGTGACTCTGAGTGACCCACCCCTCCACACTGCCTCCTCAGCCTTCATATATACCCTAGACTCCAGCTTTCACCCCAGAATTTTTCCTGCTTGTTTCCCTGTTATTCACCTGACCCAAGCAGCTATAAAGTGCTGCTAAGAAAACTCACACACACCATTGGTTGCTGGAGTGTGCGATTTCACAGTTCCTGGGTAAATACCTGGGGGTGGAATCAATAATAATGTACATCTCTCTTTCAGTTTTGAAGAAACTGCCAAACCATGTTCCAGTGTGGATGCAATCCCAGCACATCATATATGAGCTCCACTTCTTTAGATCCTTGTCAATGACTGTGTCACGTGACTTGTAGTTTACATTCCTTAAGAGTGTGTAAATGATCTTGTGTTGTGATTTTAGTTTGCATCTCCTTGGTGCAACACTGATCGTCTTTTCATACACTTATCTGTTATTTGTGCATCGTTTTTTGTGACGTCTCTGTAGAAATCTGTTGCCCATTCGCTAGTAGGCTGTCGGTCTGTGTATTATTGAGTGAGAGGTTTTGCTTGTGTAGTCTCATCACAAATGTCTTTCTTATCTCACATGCATTTTGCAGACACTTCCCTTTAGTCTCTCCCCCCCCCCACTTAAGCAATGGCATCATAGAAAGGAAAAGCGTTTTTTCTCATGAGGTTCGATATATATATGCATCCTCATGTTTCTGACGGCATGCATCCTCACCAAACTCACCTGGTCTCCTCACTGTGCAAACTGACACTCTGAGAGCCTGCTGAGCCTCCAGGTCTTCCTGCATTGGTTGCAATTCTGACTGTGGTTTGCCCCCGGGACACCATCTTTTCTCCTCAACTCAGGGCATTTCAGGCTTCCTTTTGGTTTCTACTCTGTGTCATGTTCTAGAAAGTCTCTATAGACAGGAAGCCAGAGCTGTCCCTGAGATCAGTCCCCAGGCTTCCCTGTCTCTCAGGAAACCGCTCAGAGACAGACAGTTACACCCGATGTCTGTTTTCTTTAGCGGTATCTTAAAGGTGTTTTCCACTCTCTAATTTAATTTACTTTTTCATTATTTCAGGTGAGAAGATAAATCCAGTCTCTGTAACTTCATTGTAGCCTAAAGTGGAGTTGATATCAAGGAGCACACACTGGCTGAGAGCTAAATGGCAGGAGGAGGGTGTAACAGTCCGTGGTGGTCAAGGGGAAGGCTTCCGGAAGGCTTGACCTCACAAAGGAGCCTTGAGCTGCGATTCAGAAGCAGACCCACGGACTCCAGGCCTGCGATCCTAGAGGGGAGGTTAGAGGAGTTGGGGGGAGGTGCTTAGGGTAAGAGAGCAGACATCTCCTGATTGTTGTGTTAAAGAGCTGGAACTCGCTGAGATCTTAGATGGGGTGTACCCATCAGTGTACACCCCATTGTTAACACATTCATGGTGGCAGGTCAGCTGCTGGTCTGCTGGTCCCCACGTGAAGTGCAAGGGGCACGACTCCTGCTCTCTAGCCAGACTTGACCCTGACCTTGTTCCTGGTGCCGCAGGCCCAATGGCTCCATCTAGGCCCTTTGACGTACTTCCTAGATGCTTAGGCTCCCTCACCCTGCCTCTGTGTACTGCTCCTCCTTCCCAGATAACAAAAGCTTCTCCAGTACACAGGCATTACCGAACACAGGGAGTCCAGGCTATAACAGAACATAGGCCATGCTCACCCCCACACACCCAGATGCACACTATACACAGTGATGGAGTGGACACACACACACACACACACACACCAATAGAGTCCAGGCTATAACAAAACATCCTCCACACACATACTGGACACACACTATACACAGTGATGGGGTAGACACACAGATTCACACAAATACACACTGGTGGGGACAATTTAGCCTTAGAGAGGGTAGACTAAAGGCCAAACTAATCTAGGAAATCTTTGTTTATCCTCTCCAGAGGAACACTTCAATGGAGAAGCATAAATGCTGTGGTGATTGGAAGGTCCTAATGTGGACAGGTCTGCTTTCCTTCCAAGGACTTTCTATAGTTCCACTAGACGAATAGGGGCATTTGCAAATTTAGAAAGGACTGAAAATATTTATAACCATAGGAATTATTATTATTGTTATTCTAATGCTTGCTTTCTATTACCTCTCCTGGGGAGAAAATTGGTAGGTACTTGGTATGTGGAGCAGAAAGGAACGTACCCTGACAAGGTGTTTTTGTGAGTTTGTTTTCTTTGGTGTGCAATCATGAGGACTGCTCCTTAATGGTCTCCTGATGGGTGACGAGATCTCCAGGCTGTAATTGTGCCGTTACCGCCTGGGAGATTTTACCCTTGTCGATTTTGCCCCTTTCGTTATATTTTACTAATAAAAATGTCGATACACTACACTCGCTGTTGTCTTTCTTTTCTGTCCCAAGCTTGCGTCTCATCATTGTTCACAACCGTCTGCTGGAGCTTTGAGACTTGTAGGCCGAGCTCTGTTTCCTGTCTTCAGGTTGGAATAGTCACCAGTAAGGCAGGTCCTGCTGATTCACAATTTCCCAGGGCCGACTGCAAGTCCAAGACAACAGAGATTCCATGTTTTCCAAAACTACAACCTAAAAACCACATCCAAATGCCTAGACATCAATCTAGACATCACAAAGTACACAGTCCATCGTAAACTCAAGAACTCCTAAGTGCAACGTCACCTGCGTTGGAAATGTCCTGATAAAGACCATCAAGTGTACAGCCCCCTCTTTCGAAGCACCGCATCCGCCCTGCTGCTGAGATTGGATGTACGATCCAGGGTCGCACAGACAGAAGCAGAGGATGTGGCTTGCGTGGCATGTCTGCTTCCACGAAACACCTGTATGAGGGGCAGCGACAAGATACAAGAGGAGACAAGGAATGGAGAGTGGGAAAGGAAGGAAAGGGGAACGACTGTGAGAGCAGAAAGTCATTTCAGCACCATGGAATCCAGTGGCCTGTGTGCACCGAGAGCCTCCACTCTTGTCCCTCTGGCCAGGGGACGCTCTCTTCCACCTTGGAAAACAGGCTTCTCTCCATTCAATTTACCCAGGCTTGTCCCCGAGAATAACTAAGTTTATAAGGATCCTCCTGCCTCCCGGGCTCTTAATCACAGTAACTGGAATCACCACCCTCCCCTCCCTCCTCACCGCTATGGAAGGCCATTTCTCTCTGCCCCCCAGCAAAGAAGCAGTTTTACATGGCCATCTGTTATAATCCCGTCAATTTCCCTTGGCTGAGCTGAGGCCACTGGCTGTCCATCCTCAGAGGGGTTGATGGGCAAGATTTACTCCTGCGGAGCCTGAGATCCATGCACACCTGTAACCCAGGCTGTGAGCCCTGTGGCCACCTGTTCACTGCTCTGCTCAGCTGCGTTCATTGACAACTTTGGCAGTGGGTGGGTGGTCCTTCTGTGTCCTTAATTTTGTCTCTGTCGATTTCCCGTCCTAACTCGTTTGAGTCTGAGAAACTAACGCAATTAACAATCAAAATACTCACAGGTCAACATGTCTGATGGAATCTTGGTCGTCCCAATCATGCCACTACTGTAAGTGACCACTTAACTGAGAAGACAGCAGTCGCCTACAATGCAGTTTGCTCCAGAGCCTTCTACATCTGGACATTTCTAGTCTTTCCTTCCTCAGGGACCACAAGAAGTTGTGGGCAATCATATAGCCACGAGTTAATTTTTTCATGTGGACCAAGTCTACATGAGGCCAGTAGGCACCTCTCATATTGAGGAACAGATGTTAATCTTGCAGGGGTCAAGGCCATTCATGGAGCTGTTTAAGCATCTTCTAACAGGAGACTCTGGAGCCCCACCTGGCCTCGTCAGTCATGAAGCCCTGAACCTTCCTGCCACCCCCCCCCCATACACTGAATCATCTATGAGGACTTCTTTCAGGCTGAGCAGACACACCCTATCATCTTCCTACTGGATGCCTAGAACTCAGCGCTTCGTGTGACATGGACCCATGTTCTCAGTATTGCCTGCCCACATCTCTTCACACCCTTAAAACTATGCAAACTATGTCCGGCCAGGCTTTTCCTGGCAGTGCCTGCCATTTGTTCTCTTGGCTGTCATTCTGAAGTCATTTTATGGTACAATATGCTGGTCCATGTCCCCTACCTACCCAGTGACCAAATGCATTATTTTACTTGCACAAAGGGGACTCTGTAGATGTGCTGAGGACCTCGAGATGGGGTGATTACACTGGATTGTTTAAATTGGCACCATCCAATCCATACGTGAGGCCCGTAGGACACAGGTCAGCTTAAAGGCCAGGTTCAAGTGAGTATATAACAACGTAAATGGAGAAAGAAGGCGCTGTGACAGCAGACAGGGAAGAAGGGAGAAGGGAGAGAGAGGTGAGGATGTGGAGCTGCTGCTCTTGAAGATAAAGGTTTCCAAGCACCCCTGCTGACAGCCAAAGCTTTGGCCCGGGACGCCTGCTCCTCAGAACCCCCTTGCAATGCAACTGTGCATTTTTGTTCATGGTAATATTTACATTGGTCATAGGACACAAGTTCAAACTTCAAATGCTCTCGTCTTCCATCCTAAGGAAAACTCCCTAGTCTCCCTAGACCATGTATGTCAACTACAGCCTGGAGGGACTGACTTCCCTTGGGAGCAGGTATGTCAGGTATTGACTGCTTCTGAATGGTTGAGAACTAAACCTGCCCCTTCTCTTCCCCTGTCCCTGAGTATTCCTTAAACCAAGACCCACCCAACTTTTCCAACAAGCTCTGTGGTCTTCACCTGACTTCACCTGACTGTGGGATGAGAGGCCACAGGTACCTGTTCATCCTGTGAGGAAGACTACAGCAGACCCTGAGTACCAAGTCCTCATCTGTGTCCTCAGTCACATCCTTCTCACCCCCTCCCCAGACATGACATGAGGTAAGTCCCTTTGTCCCTTTACACGGTGGGAATACAGCTTGGCACTGAGGCTTTCTCTCTAAGACAACTAAGCCAATGAGCGAGTGGGATTCCTCCTGCTTGGCACAGCCTCCTCCTCTGTGCTGTGCACAGCATCAGCAGCAGGATCTTGAGGAGCCTGGTTCCGAGTGCAAGTTTCTTGGCCCTCATTTCGGTGACTAATATTAATAAATCCTTAGTTTCCTTCCTGAGAAATCTTTAGCCCTTTATTTGAAAGAGAAAGGACATATTGTACTTGGAAGCCCAAAGTATCCAACTTTCCAAACTCTTTTCTTCGTTAGAGCGATGTCAAAGTGAGAGAGGATGGAGAAAAATAGGCAAATACAATAAAATTGCCCTAATACCTCAAGCAGAATCAAAGAGGAAGAATCAAAGTCCTGTCTGGGTGCCTGTAAAAGTAGTAAGGGCTGTGTAGTTTAACTGACACAGGTGTTGAGTGGCGAACTTCCCACAGAAAGACCACAAAACCAGAACCACAGTTAGCCTAAAATAATTCAATTAAGTGAAACTCACTCTATAAATAAACATATTGGAATGTCCAATGGCACACCAGAGCTGTGATGAATTGAGTGTTTCCATATCAAAATTAACCCAGTTTTAACATGTGCATTATTACAGTATAGACATGTCTGGGGTTCATGCTGCTCATTTTTTTAAAGCATATTAAATATATGTTCCATTAAACAAACTACTATGCATATGCATAGTCTCTGTAGTAATATAATTTATATAGGGGAGAGCATAAAAACATATGCCCTTTTTAGAGTATGTTGATTTAAAAAATGTGTATCACCGTCTCTACACTGAATACATTCATTTATGGACATATAAATTTTCTTTGCTGTTATGGATTTTGCAGGCTCTACAATCTGCACAGAGTTTTCTGGAAATGAAGGGGAAGGGTTTTTGTTTTGTTTTGCTAATTCTTTCTTTGGGGGTGGAGGTGGGCAGCAATGTAGTTTGGACTCCTGTCTTTGACAAGTTGCCTCTCTTACTCTGCTGCAGCCCAGGCATCTCTTTTCTATCTTTCATGCCTTTTCTGAGGCTCCTCTCTGGCCTTCAATAAGGACACTGTGTGTCGCAGAGCAGCTGTGCAAGGCTTCACAAATGCTGGCTGACGAGAAGTGACAGCCCTGTATATCTCTCACTGGCATTGACAGCTGACAGATGGATACCACTCACACACAGAAGAAAAGCCCCCGGGACGATTCGCCAGCATTACTCTCTGTTCATAGGGCCACATGTGATTGAGTGCTGCTCGGAATAATAAACCCGGTGGATGGCTGCAGCGCGGGGCTCTCATACAATACACAGGGACTTCTCCCCGTCTAAAACACGAACAAATATATACACTGAAGCTCTGTCTTGTGGGTTATTTTCTGTCTGCTTTTGTTTAGAAAAGAAAACAAAAGGCAACGAGAGAGGCAGAAGAAAGGGCAGCGATGCCAGCATTTGCGGGGAGACTGTCCAGAAGAG